AGAGTGGATGACTGTAGATATGAGATATTGTTGTAAAATGATAAAATAACTTCTTTTTTTGGCAAGCCAAGCAGAATATTAGATTTTCAATAATATTTCCTTATAGGCTGAGATTCTATGATTCTTAGGTGAACATTTCTTTAATTACACATTCACTGAGATTCTATGACTTGTAAGATTAACATTCCATTATGCTATACATTTTGAAAAGGGGAAACAATCTAAACTAGCCATTCGCAAATGTTAGTATACAGCTAGATGCACTATGAGAAATATGAAAACACTGGTGAATTTTTCATGCAACAAATTTTTCATTTATTCTGGGATTATGCTCTTTTCACCACTTGTGTTTTAATGCCTTGTTTTTTTATTAAATGATGATGATAAAAGACAGGAGATATGTTCAAATGTCATCAATGTGGAAAATCTTAATAAAGCTGATGTTCGTAGATAGAGGGCACGACTCTTCTTTTTCATTTCTGAGCATCAAACATTTTTTGCCATAGTGCTTTTTTATTTGGATTTAAAAAAAATAAAATTAAATATTTAACTTCTATTGTAGAAAATAAAACATTTGGAGATAATATATAAATTAAACAGAAAATAATTACTTCATGGGAGAACAAACGAACAGTAAAAAGTTTAGTTGACTATTTTCAGTACTTCCATTATAACTTGATTGTTTAGAGAGGCCATTCTAGGTTCTCATTTTTAAGCATTTAAAGCATCAGTCATTGAAGAAATAAGACAATCAGCACACTTTAGCTACTTTTCCAGCACATGAAATTTATCTTACTATCTAAAACTTATTACTTGTCAAAAATGTAATTCATCTGGGTCTCTTTAAAAATCAAGAAATGGAAACATGCTATCTTAAAAGGGAATGCTTTATTTTCCTTTTCTATGAAAAAAATGTAGAGTCAGTAAATAACCTAGAAATGATTAGTATGTGTCTATGTATATTAGAATAAAAAACTATCAACTCAGAGTGTCCTATTTATTTAAAACACCCCACTAAGGAAAACGATGTATGATTATTGATATACTTTGGATTTTTGTTCCCTCTAAATGTCATGTGGAAATGAGATCCCCAAGGTTGGAGGTAGGGCCTAATGGAAAGCGTTTAGGTCATGGGCAGATCCCTCATGAATGGTTTGGTGCCTTCCCTGTGGTATTAAGTTCCCCTTCTATTAGTTCACTTGAGAGCTGGTTGTTTAAAAGAGCACGGCACCTCCCCTCTCTCCTGCCACCTCCTTTCTCTCCATGTGATATCTGCTTCCTTCGCATTTCACCATGACTGGAAGCTCCCTGAAATGTTCACCAAAAGCAGATGCTGATGCTGTGCTTCTTGTACAGTCTATAAGCAAACAAACTTCTTTTCTCCATAAATTACCCAGCCTCAGGTATTCCTGTACAGCAACACAAAACAGACAAAGACATTATCTTTCTACTCATTTATCTATGCAGCTGGATACCTAATATGTTCTATGTATGTATGCATGTGTAAATGTATCCTCTCTCTCTCCTTCTGTCCCCCTTATGTGTGTGCATGTTATGTGTGTGTGTGTGTATAAAATTGTAGGTACTAGGCACCATTTTAAGCACTCTCCAAATAATAATTTTCCAAATAGGTAGGTTAAAATCTTTAAGCTATAGTAACTTTATTATAATAATTTCTGAAATTGTAATTGAGGAAATAACAATAGAAAAATGAAATGTAAAATAATTTTGATGTCATGCTGGTGCTTTCACTTATAATTTATACATCACTTTTAATGATTACTTTGAGTCCAACTTCCTTTTTGGGAAAACTAATGAGATTATGGTGTAATCTCTTTAATGGTCTCCTAAACATAAATAATATTTCTGCAATTAAATCCAAGAATGTCCAACTACTCACTTGCATCTCAAGTCCAAACAATTTATTTATATAGTGACATCTGAAATTTTATTGCTGCTTCTCTACTTTTGTGAAAAGCATTACACTGTGACCAATCAATTAGGCTCAAGATGTCAGATTTATTTTAATTAATAATGGTCAACATTTATTGGAAATCTATTATATCTCAGCCATTTTCCCCATCCATTATTTTGGTCAATCTTTACAACATCAAAGGTAATTACCATTGCTTATTTGCTTTGCTCATTCGAGAAACTAAGACTGCAGAAGTTCAGGGGCTAGTTAGAGGCACAGGGCTACCCATGATGGAGTCAGGAGTTGAACTAAGTTATTTTGGTTCCTAAGCCCCAAATCAATTTCAAAGTAATACATTGCTGTAGCTGAAGAGAAAATGGTTACTGGTATTTCAGAAAGCAAATGTTTTATGTTGTTCCCTCTTTTGGAAGTCAATAAAAACTTCTGCTAAACAGTAGTCATTGAGAACATATTATGGATAAAGATGCATGACTTCTGAGTACTATTAATATAAACATTTCCAACGAATTAACAAACATCTCTCAAAACCAACATATTTTTTCTTCATTTTTGTTACCTATCACATATTTCTCAGGCTTCCTTGAGGTATATGCAGGAAGAGATTCATATTTTTTCTTTTTTTTTTGAGACGGAGTCTCGCTCTGTCGCCGGGGCTGGAGCGCAGTGGCCGGATCTCAGCTCACTGCAAGCTCCGCCTCCCGGGTTTACGCCATTCTCCTGCCTCAGCCTCCTGTGTAGCTGGGACTACAGGCGCCCGCCACCTCGCCCGGCTAGTTTTTTGTATTTTTTTAGTAGAGACGGGGTTTCACCGTGTTCGCCAGGATGGTCTCGATCTCCTGACCTCGTGATCCGCCCGTCTCGGCCTCCCAAAGTGCTGGGATTACAGGCTTGAGCCACCGCGCCCGGCCCCATATTTTTTCTATATGACAAAATCAGTTTATTCATTTCAAAGCAGATACTGTAAAAGTTATCCCAGCCATTCAAAAAAATTTTAATTTCTTTTTAATTTCTATTTTATTTTATTTTATTTTATTTTATTTTATTTTATTTTATTTTTTTTGAGACGGAGTCTCGCTCTGTCGCCCAGACTAGAGTGCAGTGGCGCGATCTCGGCTCACTGCAAGCTCCGCCTCCCGGGTTCACGCCATTCTCCTGCCTCAGCCTCCGGAGTAGCTGGGACTACAGGCGCCCGCCACCACGCCCGGCTAATTTCTTTTTGTATTTTTAGTAGAGACGGGGTTTCACCGTGTTAGCCAGGATGGTCTCGATCTCCTGACCTCGTGATCCGCCCGCCTCGGCCTCCCAAAGTGCTGGGATTACAGGCTTGAGCCACCGCACCCGGCTAATTTCTATTTTAAAATTATGACAAGTATTGCATTCCAGATTTGTATATTTTAAGTTTGATTTTCATAGATCATGAGACGATATAAAAACTAAAATAAATTATTTGTTTCTAAAAAATAAGGAAATCATTTGATCTGGCACATTTATTTTACTAGTATTTCATTATTTAATACTGACTAGATTTCCTTTTATTATTTTCCATCTTAACGGTATTTATTTCAAACTTTCTCATTTTCTGCCTTCCCTTCCCTTCCCTTCCCTCTCCTCCCCTCCCCACCCCTCCCTTCCCGTTCCTGTCCTTTTTCTTTCTTTCTTTCAACGTGAGTGCTACCATAAATATATATTTTGCTTACACATTTCACATTAAATTTCTTCACTTTTTTCAGCAGAGAAGGTGGGCACATGAAAAAATAGAAAGGACACCATACTGGAAAACAAAATATCTAGGTTCTACACTTATGTTAAATAAACTGTGCAAATTAAATTATAGTATTTAATATCTTGGCCTCCATTTAGTAATTTCCTTAATGAAATAGTAATCTGACCTTATTTCTGGAATGGTAAGGATGAAATTATGTAAATAAAAGACAGAGAGGTGGAAATACTGGCATTTGTAAAATGTTGGAAGTCCATATATTTTAGAGGTATTATTAGGAAAGCATTTCCTATGTCTGAAATTATTCCGTCTGCTTGAATCACTCTGTGGGAAATGGTATTATAACTACAAATAGTAAATTCCTCCTTGTCCTTGTAGTCTTTCATAGAATATACCTCTCTTCAACTAAAGGAAATTACTTAGAAATTGTATTTTTTGTCATGATTTTACTTAAAATCTCTTTTAAAAAATGTAATAGACTTAACATTTAAAATTCTTTAGAAATGTACAGATTCTAGTGATTCTGGAATAAATACCATAAATTACAGTACTACTGGATATAATTCTTCCCTTTGAACACAGATATTAATAATTCTTTTTAAAATAGTGGTTTTATTCAACAATGCAAGATTTTTTGCTTTTCAAGGAAGAAAAGTGGTAGATAAGCACAGTCTAATTTTTAAGGCATAATGATGTGGACCATTACTGCCAATTTCTGTGCTTAGATATTAGGGCTACATTGACCTAAAAATTAAACCACCTAATAAAAAATAAATGAATACATTTTATAGGTTTTCTTACTACTTTCATTAAGGTTTTAGTATATTCATATAAAGTATTGAATTTAAGCAGTTTGCATAAGATAGCATGATTCTTGTTTTTGTTTTGTACTTTGGTTTGGTTTGGTAAAGAAATATTTAATATTAGTAAAGTTAATAGCATCATTTTTCTTCGGAATAAGTTAGAGTCAGCCTATTTTTTATCAGTGTTATTGAGCAAGTTTTCTATACAAGGAACTGATTTAGGTGATTGAGATAAATTGGTGAACAAAACAGACAAAGATGTCTATATTTGTGGAACATACATTGGTCAGGGGAAGCAGATAAGAAGAACAAACATTAAAAATTACAAATGTTAGAACCTCGAAGGCATTGTTGATAAAAGTTGTTTAGAGCAAAATAAGGAGATCAGAGATACCTGAAAAAAGGTGGAAAGGTGAAGATTTACACTGGCCTAAATTTCCTATGCAATCTGGCTGCTGGTAAATCAATATAACCTTCATCTACAGTAGCTATGGTAACAATAGCTACTCGAACAGAAACATCTCTAATTTCAATGACAATGTTAGCATAATTGGATTTATTTCTTACTCATGCAAACTCAAAAATATATTTTTTGGTAAATAAACGCTTCTCTTCCAAGTAGGAATTCATTCCAAACTTCTGCCATCTTGTGCTCTGCCATCTTCAAGCCTGTGGCTTCTTAGGTCGTGATTCCTCTGCTTCAAGTCAGAAGCAACATATGAGTATTTGCGAGTGGGAGCATTGAGCGCTACCTTGGGAGTACACATATCACTACAACTGCCTTCCACTGGCTCAGACTCCCTGTAAGATGACTTCTATAGAGGCTTGAAAACTGCTCTGTATGCCTAGAAAAGAAGAGGAAAACAACTGGGTAGTCAGGTTGCCCTGTTTAAAATGATTATCACCTATCACTCCCTCTCTCTTACTTTAGCCGTACTAACTTCTTGGTTGTTTTTAGTGTACTCAGATGCATTCCTGCAAGAACTTTACATTGATAATTCTAAATGCCAGACTACTTTTCTGTAAATATATATGTACATGGCTCCCTCCCTTGCTTCATTCCTGCCATAGATCAAGGGCTACTATACTACGGAGATCCTTCACACGTTATCATTTTACGCTCTCCTCTTTCTCTTTTACTGTTTTCCAAATATGTATACACACACACACACATACATATACACATATACACACACACTTATGATATATAAATTATATAATGTATATATAATATAAACATAATTAACATATAGTATTTGTTTTAAATAAATAATGTGTCTGTTTTTATTTCCATCCAGTAATTTCTGCTTTGGAAAGTTAAATATTAGATTGAGAAGTTATATTCTGCTTAATTTGCCTGAATATATGTATCTTCCTAGAATATTTATTTATTTTCTGTGTGCTTAGCAAAAAGCTATATGAGTATAGATTTTTACATTATTTCATCACAGCATCCCCAGCATAAAAAAAAGTCTGTACCACATCACAGGTGCTCATTAAGTATGTGTTGAATGAATGAATGTGTGAATATCTCTATAATAAAATTTATTCTATTTGTGGTTTTATATCATGAAGGCAAAAAATTTATCCCATTATTTTCTGCTGTACTTCCAGAATACAGCTGTTTTCCTAATATGTGGTAGGTGGATGATAAACATTGGATGAAGTGATGAAGAAATTAAAAAAAAAAATCACACGAGGAAAGTGATGCCGGGAGAGTTGAATACATTTTCCGTCACAGTAATGCATAGAAACCATGTGTTTAGTCATGTTGGTCTCACTTTAAAACTCATATATTGTTTTCTCTATCAGATTGTTTCCAAGCCCTTACAAGTCTCTTATCTTCGTGTTGCTAAATGCAATAAGCCTTCACTCTTCATCAGTACAGTAATCATAATTCGACATTCTTACTTTATGTATAATACATTCAATCAAACAGTATGTATTGAGTTATAAAATATGAGTGTGGCATATATCCTAAATGAGCATTTGAATGAAACTAGAATATCATTATCTTTGAAAAGAAAATATATTCATGTAAACCAATAAGTCATTATTTTTAGCCAACAAGAGAAAATGTGCCCATATTTTATGATATTCAAAAATATGCTAGCATTTCTTATCCAGTCTCATTATTTCCTTTGTGATAAGGTATTCCACTTTCATTTATTTTATTAGAGTATTTTAAATTATTGCATAACATGTCTTAGCACACTTGTAATATAAATGGAATAGGTAAATTTGATTATCACTGTTTGGGATTGGATTTTCTGGAGAACTGGAAAAACATCTGTGTCTTAATTTTTATCCCTAATTTATGTCATTTTGACCTTCACTGCACTTTCACTATCATCTTATCTTTCTAAGTTACGAAATGCTGTGACCTTTTATTACAAAAGAAAAAAATAAAGTTACTTATTTGAAATGAAATAGAGAACCTCAATTTGTTAAATTCAATACCAAGAGAGCACATATGACTCATTCAGGGCATAACAACTTTAAATTCCCCAAGAACAGGAACCATAATACAATACTTAATACTAATGAGGAGAGTATGATTGTGACCGGCTTTTAGAAGTAATTCAGGATACATTTAGTGTAGGTTCTTGAAAATAATATTTATCTTTAGAAAAATTAACCCTTAAAAATCTAGTGTCTTAATTTTCTAAAATAATAAAATTAAACACACCTAGAAATAACCAAGGCAGCAGACAGTCTCTGAAGCTTTGTGGATTTGGTGTCCTTATTTCTGCAACCTAAATTATTTTATCCAGTTTATACCATTGTTCTGAGACTAATTTAACATAGTCATGTGCTCTGACTAATTTTATGTGTCAACTTGGCTGGGCTATGGTGCCTACGTATATGGTTATTCTTTATGTTTATGTGAGGGTGTTTTTGGATAATATTTACATTTAAATCAGGGGACTCTGAGTAAAGCAAATTGCCTTACATAACACGGGTAGGTATCATTTAGTCAGTTGGAGTCTGACCTACCCTGAGGGAGAGGGAATATTACTAGCAGACTACTTTTGGACTTTACCTTCAACACTGTCTTTTCCTGGTTTGCTATAGGTCTATATATGGGTCAGTAGACTTGGACTACAACTCTATCTTTATTCTCCAGCCCGCCGGTCCCCTTCTCCCATCAGTTTTTGCATTGCCAAGACTTCATGATTGTGTAACTCCATTCCTTAGAACAAATCTCTTTACATATTTATATATACCCTATTGATTCTGTTTCTCTTAAGAAATCTTACAAATATATCACATAAAGAATTAATTTTGAAATTTGTTAATTCATAATCTTTTCTCAATACTTAAATGTTTGAATAATTAAAAAAAAAAATCAAACTCAACTGAAGGAATCAAGCCAGGAATGGCAGCTCATGCTTATAATCCCAGTACTTTTGGAGGCTGAGGCAAGAGGATTAATTGAGGCCAGGAGTTTGCAACTGGCTTGGGCAACATAGTGAGCCCTAGTCCCATTTACTCTAGAAATTGCGGTGGGAGGATTGCTTGAGCCCAGAAGTTAGATGCTGTAGTTATGGTGGTGCCACTGCACTCCAGACCCGGGGACACAGTAAGACTCTGTTTCTAAATATATACATATATGGCTATAAAAATTATTCTCTATTATCCAGAAATTAAACAATTGTCAATTTTTAATTAGTTTTCATTGTTAGGAATAGAGAGGAAATACATTGTTTACTTACACTGTGCTAGGCAAAATTATAGCCACATCAATTCTCAGGGTTTTTGTTTTGTTTTCTTTTCTTTTCTTTTCTTTTCTTTTCTTTTTGAGACGGAGTCTCGCTCTGTCGCTCGGGCTGGAGCGCAGTGTCGCCATCTCGGCTCACTGCAAGCTCCGCCTCCCCGGTTCATGCTCTTCTTCCACCTCAGCATCCCTAGTAGCTGGGAATACAGGCGCCCGCCACCACGCCCGGCTGATTTTTTTTTGTATTTTTAGTAGAGACAGAGTTTCACTGTGTTAGCCAGGATGGTCTGGATCTCCTGACCTAACCTCGTGACCCGACCCGCCTTGGCATCCCAAAGTGCTGGGAAGACAGGCCTGAGCCACCGCGCCCGGCCAGACTCTCAGTTTTATCTTACATTCTCATTTCCCATCATAGGTAACCTCTTTAAAAGACAGTCGTGTTATTTAGTTGTTTCAGAACTACTGATTGCACTGCCATTAAAATAATTTTGTAAAAACACCTTATCACCTTTTTCATACTTACAAGTTGAGATTTAACATTTATATTGTATATTCAATTAATGACAAAGGGTGTAATTTCCATTCAATTTAAAATGTTAATATTTAAAAATAAAATAATTATATTCATTGTTTAACATATTGTGTAGATGTAATTATAATTAGTGATTATAATCTTTTTGATCAATTTTTTCCATACTTGTTGACTTAGAATTTTATTCTAATGTAATAAATTGTGTGCTTCCACTTATACATTTTCTCCAACAAATACACTTTTTCTTATTATAAACCTCTCTATGTTAAAATTTACTCTTTTTGGATTGAGTTAATATTATATTAATTATTAATACACAATAGATTATTATTATATAGCTAATAAAAATAATATGAATGTACTTTTTAATTTGGAATATATTTTTAATTTGATGGGATTTTGTCTTCAATTAGTTCATGTATCATACTAGATTATAAAGGTTTCACTGTTAATTATTTTACTTTATTTTTAAAAAATTTCATACAGATATAGCAATGTAAGTCAATTATTTTTGTCACCATCTAAGTTATATACCAAAAATAACAGTGTTCTATCATCAAAATTATTTTGTGATTTTTTTAGCTGAAAATCTGATTTTTTTCCTTCAATTTTCTTGAAAGAGTTGGAAACCTCCTGCTTTATAAAGTGATTTGTTACTCACTCACTCATTAAAGTCATTCACTTTCTCACTATCGATAACAATATTTCAAAGTGTTACATTTTTGACACTCCTGATTGTTTTGCACCCTCGGTAAGATCAAAATTAGGGAATATGTTAGAGACATATCTTCCTTTTAGAATGTGAGAGAAGGAACTTTGTGACAGTCAGATGAGAAAGGACACAATCACAGATGTTTTCTTAGGAGAACTAGCTTTAGCAGAGAGAAACATTGGAAGTGGATATCTCAAAAGCAATGAACGTCTCTTGGAAAATTATTACATATACCCAGTGCAACTCTTATCCCATGTTGAAGATGGGAGCTTGTTGACTGAAGTACCCAAAGCATCTTAACACTGCTTGTCACTGTTCAAAATGAGAAAAGAATGTGTGACTAATAAATAAACAAAATACAAATGAATAAATGAACAAAAAACCTCTTTGAGATTGGTATTATGATTGTCCTCAGATTTCCGCAGAAGAAAATTAAATTGAAGTTGGGAATTCATCATATTTATTACTGTAGATTGACTGCTCTAAAATGTTTTTCCATTGTTATACAAAACATACGTGACTACACATAAGTGATGGTTCCTCTGAGACCTCATGAAAGTTACTCCTGCTCTGGAGCTATTCACATAGATTCAACTTCCAGTTGATTTGGATAACTAAGGTTACTAAAGGAAATTTCAAATTATAAAACTGTGGTTATTCCTGCATCCACCAGCACACTTGATGTGAAGCTATGATTTATACATGGTAACTATATAGACAGAAATCTGTACATTGCTTCCATATATATTTTTCAGCTACACATACACACAAATGAAAAATTTTGTTTTCTTTTCTATTAAACATCATGAATACTCATAACTCACACATATATGATTACTGATGTTTATATATCTCAAAATAACATTATATACTATGCAATCAT